ATGATCTTTCGCAGAATGGTATCACTCAAGCAAGTACTCAGGAGGCTCCTAACCCGCAAATCTTTATCTGCCCGTTTTGGATCTGCCTTTACGTCTGCACCGTCCATACCCTTATCCGACTCCGACGAAGCAGCTGAGCTTTCTTGCAGTACTGATAATAAACCCTGAATCTCCAGCTGTCCCAGCAACTTGAATTTCCACATACCAAAGTCCCCTTTTCCATCAAACTTCTCCATCTCGAACTTCCCTGGAGTTGGATCCATCCTTATTTGTTGACTAATCTCCCCTTTCTTGTGTCACTCCCTGAGCTCTTGACTTGAGCTCGATTGTGAACAAACCACCAAGATCGCGTCCGATTTCACCAAGGTCCGTGAATCGCGAACTCGATCTACACCTCCTTAAAGCCTTGTAAGTTCCTTCTTGCTCCTCCGTGAATTTCCTTTCGATGACCGCTTCTAACCTGGAAGCTCTGATACCACTTGTTGCAGATCCAACTTAATTCTGCGTGTATGATCAAGACGATCTAACGATACCTCTCTCTCTCTCGCACTCGTCTCTCTTGGTTGTGTCGCGACTCACTACGAAGAGGTTTGAAGAAGAAAGAAAGGAAGAGAATATAGAGAAGCACACGTGAGATTATAGAGTTCCCCGAAACTCCGGGTACATCTCTCTTCAGGATCTTTCCTGGAATTCACTAGAACTGGTGTTTTACAGAAGCTTTTGAGATCTCGTCAATGGTGACACAGATCGAGAGTACAACGTGAAGAAGAAGATAAAAGTTTGTTACAAGATTCTCTTCATCCAACGAGATATTTTAAAGGGACGTTGAACTTGGCCAAGACTTGGGCTTCATCCAGTTTACTCAGCCCGGCCCAGCTTCTGATCCAAAACCAACTCAGCTCTTAACCCGATCTGATTGACTAAGATAGAACCATTTTCCCACAGTTATTCCTTTTAAATGGTAAAAAATTTTAGGAATGGAGAGGAATAGCACATTCCTCATCATTCCATTCCGTAATTATGATCACTAGTTGGAGCCTTAATTGATGAAATAAAATGTTATATGTGTAGATACTGAAACGGAGCAATACTGACGAGGACGAAGATGAAGTACAAACCACCGAGAAGGCAAGAATTGAGATAACTTCATGCTTCATTGCAGATTTATTTAGCTGGGTAATTAACGAATTCACATGAATGCTTACCAAAAACTCTCTCTCGTCCTCCTGAAAAGACTCATTAAAAGGAATTCCACTTTTGAATACAACAAAAAGATGTCCAACCACGTTCAATGAAAAATGAAATTAAGGAGTTATCAGCTCAATTTGATGTGAGAGAAAAAGCCGTTTACAAACAGAGTTTTGCAAACACAAAAATCAACAATAATTGCATTCATGTCAATATACAGATTCCTAAGACTAAATTTTGATAGGAATCTTGCATTATAGATTTCACCAATATGGCTTCCTACATCTATTCAGCGATGGACCTACCAATCTGGCCACTTACTAATCTCTGTTGGTGTACTAAAACTTATTTAATGTTCACATATATTTTGTTCCTTTACAAATTAATGGGTAAGAACTATAAATAAAAAATGGCCTAACACAATATAACAAAAGACATGCACAAGGATGTGTTTGCAGTGCTGCCGACGAGAAAGAAAAAAATGAGCCCCAAATAGAAACCAAACAAAATAAAAACTGGAAAATAAAATAGACATTATCAACAAAGATACACAATATTAAAATAAAATATGATTACAGGAACTCCAGTTCCATATATTATTATACAAACATTGAAAACAGAGTGACAAATTGGAATAACACAATAAAAAGAACTAAAATAAAAACAAAAATTAGAAACAAAGTACAGAAAACAAGATCACAACAACATAATAAACAGTTATGGATTAAAAAAAACCGATAAAACAGATAAAAAAGCAAAAAAAAACACCAATTAAAATAAATAAAAAACATAAATTGAAAAACGCACAGGTTCTCACCTAGTATACATTAATGAGTCATACATACGTAAATATTTTCACAAAATTTGTAAGAACAAATTATGAGACAGAAAACTGTCAAAGTTTATAGATGATATAAAATTTTAAATTGCCTCGTGTTTTCATCAATGGCTGACACATTGAATTTTCGCAATTAAATGTATGGTTATCATATTAACCAACATTGTTTCGTTGAAAAAAAAAAAAACAATATAAAATGGCAGTTCTACTAAATTCAGTTCATCAGTATCATAATGTACATCAAACGTTAATTAATTTACTGAGCAAGTAGAAGATGAATTTTATATTTACTATTAATGTTTTTTTTTTAAAATATTTATATTTTCTTCGATTTCTTGTTGATGATATATTATTTGCAATCTCTTCTACACTAGTTATGTAAAATAGTCTAAATTTTCTCTCAAGATAATAAGAGACTAAAAATCTACTATTTTAATTTTTATATGAAAACGTAATAGTTTACTTAAAAAATAATTTTGAATATAGAGAAATATTTATTTGTTCTTTGATTTTCATATTTTTTTATTATAGTAAATCTTACTAATATAATACTTGTTAATTTTTTTAGTTAACTATTTTGAATTTTTTGATTATATATATTTTATTGATTTCACCTTTTTATTTTATTTAAAAAATCATATATGATATTTTTATATCGATATTTTTATTTTTACTATTATTTTTAAATTCTTTTATTAAATATTTTTTATGTTTTATAATTTTATTAGTTAGAATTTTATATAATATTATTTGAAACTTTTTAACTTATTCAGTCTTATAATTGTTTTTCACTTGTATTAAAATTTAATTATATTTTTAGTTTGACAATCAAAGGTTCTTAGACAGTTTTTAGAACAATTTTTTTTTTCTCGTTTAAGAGTATTTATCTTTTTTTGGGTGTGAATAGCTATAATCGAGTCCGATCCAATGAGATCTGTCCAACGTTCCAACATTTTCTTGTTAAAAATTATTATTATTATCATGAGTAGATATTTTTTTAGATTATTCTAGATAAAATAGTTCATGATTTTCATAATCTTGGACAGCACGTCCAGAATAATTCAATATTAAATTAGTGGCTCTGATCCTTTTTATCGATATTGAAGATAAGGTGATAGCAAGCGCGGAGAGGATGAAATCCCAACATGAGTAAAACCTCCATGTTCTGTTCTGGAGTCTCAGAGGAAACTTTGGATCATCTACAGAACGTCTTCTCTCTATCTCCTGGCTCGCTTCCCATCAGATATTTAGGCTTCCCCCTTTGCTCGAGAAAGTTGTCCATTTCGGACTGTGACACTCTGATACAGAAGATAAGGGCTAAGATGAATGGATGGCTCCATAGGCATCTCAGCCTTGCGGGTCGTTTGAGGCTATTGGCATCGGTAATATCTGGAATAATTGGCTTTTGGACAGCAGCATTTTTCCTACCAAAGAAAGTCATCCAAAAGATCAATTCCTTATGCAGTGCGTTCTTATGGCATGGAAAACTGGATGGCTCCAAGTCAGCAAAAGTGGCGTGGGCCTCTATTTGCTTCCCAAAGTCTGAAGGCGGGCTTGGATTGAGATCGATATCAACCTGGAATGATACTTGTGGGCTTAAGTTAATTTGGATGCTATACTTCCGTGCAGGTTCGATCTGGGTAGCGTGGATACGCCACAACTATCTTTCAAAGGCCTCTTTCTGGTCCCTGAATGATAGTAACAGCGCTTATTCTTGGATGTTTCGACGCATCCTGAAAATTCGTCATAAGGCCTTATCTTTTTTGACAATAAAGTTGGGTCGTGGCGATGAAACGTATTTCTGGTGGGATCCATGGACTCCTTTTGGTCAGCTTATTCATTTTCTGGGTCCAGCAGGTCCAGCCTTGATGGGTATTCCACTGAACTCCTTGGTGTAGGACCACCGTACAGATGATGGTTGGCGTTTACCTCTGGCAAGATCTGAGACTCAACTGCAATTGCTGACTACTATTGCCTTAATGTTGGTTGAACCCGGTGCAGATTCCTCTCAATGGAAGATCGGGGACAAAGCATCCCAAAAGTTTATCTCAAGAGAGGTCTGGATGAGAATTAGAGACATTAAACATGAAGTTACATGGCATAAGTTTATCTGGTTCAAGGCGGGAATTCCAAAACATTGTACTACAGCCTGGCTGTTTATGCTTAATAGGAACCCAACTTTGGATCGGTTGAGGGCATGGGGACTGGATGTTGAATCCGATTGCTTGCTCTGTGGTATTACAGGTGAATCTAGAGATCATCTGTTTTTTGACTGTGCATATTCAAAAACGATTTGGTCAGGTTTGACGACCCGTCTTCACCTATCATCTCCTCCCACTTCGTGGGCTCCCATTCTCGACTGGTTACCAGTAGCAAATCCATCTGCAGATATATCAATGGCGTTAATACAAGGTTGGCAGGCCTGTATTTACGAAATTTAGAAAGAGAGGAATCAAAGGTTCCATCATGGCACCACGCGTCCGCCTCAAGTGATCCTGCAGAGAATGTTGGTGGTTCTGAAGAATAAAGCAATCGCTTTGAGAAATTTGGGACTCCACTGCGGTCCTCGTCTACTCCGTGTCTGGTCACCGGGATGACATTAAGCGTTTCTTTGGCTGGCTTGTTGCTGTTTACTTATGCTGTTGGCATCTGATCCTTCCCCCCCTTTTTCTAGTTCCTTTATGTTTTTAATGGTTGTTTTGGTTCTTGTTTGTTTCTTGTAAAACTCTTTATCTTAATGAAGGCCTTTTAACAAAAAAAAAAAGATAAGGTGATAGTTATGAGAGAAAAAAAAACAAATTAAAATGTTGAAAACAAGATAAGAACAAGACAAAACTTTGGACGAAAGAAAATTCAAACTTCAAAGTGGAAAAACTTCAAAGTCAAAACTTTGAACAAAAGAACAAGACAACAAGATCTAGACACCCTCGTCTTAAAACTCTATAAGAGTAAATAATGAAGCACAAATCATAATCCCAAAAAAATTTGGGTACGTAAGAGAAAGTAAAAAAAAACAAGAAAAAAAAAACAGAGTTTTGAAAGAATGGAGGAAGAGAAGAGTAAAGTGACACTACATGGGATGTGGGCAAGCACATACTCGAAGAGGGTTGAAATCGCCCTTAAACTCAAGGGTATACCCTTCAAGTATGTCGAAGAAGATCTAAAGAACAAGTCGGATTCGCTGATTCAACTCAACCCGGTTCACAAAAAGATTCCTCTCCTTGTCCATGATGGTAAACCACTCGCTGAATCACAAGTGATTCTTGAATACATCGATGAAACGTGGAAGAACTCTCCTCGTCTCTTGCCAGAAGATCCTTATGAAAAGGCCCAGGTCCGGTTCTGGGTCAGCTACATCATCCAACAGGTGTTTTCCCGGATCTCTCATCAGAATATCCTATACACTGATATGGTTATTAAAGGAATGATTGTTTTTTTGTTGCAGGTGTATGAGGTCTTTGGTCGTATTCTGTTCCAAGAGGGTAAAGCTCTAGCAAAGTCTGTAGAAGAGGCTCAAGAGAGACTCAGAGTTCTTGAAGAGGGACTCAAGAAGCATTTCCCAAACAAAATACTCAGAGAGAATGATGATGTTGGGCTTTTGGAGATAATCATCTTCACTTCTTTTGGAGCCCACAAAGTTTATCATGAAGCACTCGGTGTAGAGATAATTGATCCAGTGGACACTCCGACTTTATACAACTGGATAGAGCGCCTGCAGGAACTGACTGTGATGAAAGAATGTGAAGTGCCTCATGATAAGTTGGTGACCTCAATCCAGAACTATAGACAAGAGCATCTCCAGAAGACTGCAAATGCGTAAAGAGATTAAAATGTTGGTCAATGGTTTTAATGTCCCAGAAAATAAGAGTTTTAAGAGTTCGATTATTATTTGACAGTAAAAAATAATTCCTTGAAACAGTTATTTATGAACTTATGGCAGTTACTAATGTATGATAATAAAACTAAATAAATCATTTGTGGTATCTCCATGCTTTCAATAGCCACTTGATACACTTTGTTGTTATACCTTTGACAGAAATACCTTTGTTTTAACTAGTACTTTTTGCAGTTCTAATATTTTTTACTTATTTTCTCTTTCTCTTTAAGGTTTTTGATTTGTTTCGGTTTATAACGTGGTTTGGGTTTTTATCAGTTTGTTGTGGTTTATTGAAACCAAAACAAAATGAAACATATTTGTAATTCGGTTTGCTCGAGTATAATTACGTTTTGGTTTGTTTTGTATTCTTGCTTTATTTTCGACAAAAGAATTACTTAAATATTATCATATTTTGTTATATGATTACATATTTTGCCTAAAAAATTAGATGATTACATAATATTATTAATAAATAGTTTAAATTTTGAGAAAAAATTGAAAATTTTGGTTTATTTAGTAAGGTTTCATTTCAAACACTAAAATTCATTCCGGTTTGGTGTTGGTTTTGGCTGTTGGTCTTGGTTTTGATGGTAATGAATTGAATTGTTGACATATTTCGGTCCAGTATTGCTACATTTGATTTAGTTTGGCACATAAAAATTCGGTTTTAGGTTTAAATTGTGGTATGGTTTAAACTAGTGAACCCAATGCCATTTGTATAACTTGTTCAGTTTCTTAACTACTGTTTTTTATTTTTATTAATATGACCCTGATCTATAAGCAAATTTTCGTTTTAAAACTGGTGGAATCATTGCTGAGGTATGGAATGCAAGACCTCAAGCACATCTTCAACAGCGTATCTCCGATTGTAGGAAAGCAATATCCAAATGGAACCAGCAACACCACCACAATAGCCAAAAAGCAATTGTAGAAGGGAAAAGGCGATTGGAGGAGGCCATGTCAGACACACAAGGCAATAATCAGACCATTGCTGACATAAATGGGGAGCTACAACTGGAATACCAGAAAGAAGAAGCCTACTGGAGGCAAAGAACTCTTCATACTTCCACTCCATTACGAAAGGCAGACGAGCTTTAAACAGGTTCTCGGTGATTGAGAACGGAGAGGGAAATGCAGTCTTCCAAGAAGAGGAAATCTCAAAAACCATATCAATGTTCTTTCAGGATCTGTTCACATCCTCATGACAAGATTCCTCTGATACGGTGGAGAGGGCACTTCACCCCTGCATTACAGATGAGATGAATGAACAATTAATAACGATACCAACAATGAAGGAAATTCGAAATGCTCTATTCTCAATTCACCCTGACAAAGCCCCTGGACCCGACTGCTTCTCTGCCAGTTTTTTCCAGTCTAACTGGGGTACTATTAAAGAGCAGCTATGTTTGGAAATCCAAGACTACTTCAGAGAAGGATACTTCCCTCATGACCTGAACCATACTCATGTTCGTCTGATTCCGAAGAAGAAAGGTGCCAAAGCTGTTGCTGACTATCGGCTTATTGCCCTCTGTAATGTGGTTACAAGGTATTCTCCAAGATCATTACCAAGCGTCTCCAACCAATCCTCCCTGTTATCATATCCAAAAGTCAATCAGCATTCGTTCCAGGAAGGGCAATCTCGGATAACGTAATGATCACACACGAAAAAATGCACTACCTTAAGCGATCTACGGCTAAGAAACACTGCACCATGGCGGTCAAAACCGACATGAGCAAAGCCTATGACAGACTTGAATGGGACTTCATCGAGAAAGTTCTAACACGACTCGGTTTCCACCCTACTTGGAACAAATGGATAATGTTATGTATCAAGACTGTATCCTACTCCTACTTAATTAACGGAGCAGCTCAAGGTTTAGTTTTACCTCAACGAGGCATCCGACAAGGTGATCCGCTCTCACCCTTCATCTTCATATTGTGTGGAGAAGTGTTATCAGGACTATGCAACATGGCCCAGGCCAAAGGCAACCTCTGCAGTATTCGAGTATCCCGAGCCAGCCCCAGGATCAATCATCTCCTCTTTGCAGATGACACAATGTTTTTTGCAAAACAAAGCCAAGCTGCTGTGAGGAGTTAGTCAAGATCCTAGATCTATATGAAAATGCTTCGGGACAAAAGATAAACAAAGACAAGTCAAGCATTACATTCTTTGGACGTACACCACAGGAAGTAAAGGATAGAGTCATGACGACTTTAGGCATAGCCAACCAAGGAGGTCAGGGGAAGTATCTGGGTCTCCCCGAATACTTTGGAAGAAGGAAAAAAGACTTGTTCACCTTGATAGTGGACAGAATCAGACAAAAGGCCGTTGGTTGGTCAACGAAATTTCTGTCAAGTGCAGGCAAGATCACGATGCTAAAGTCTGTCCTCTCAGCCATTTTCTCATACACTATGTCGTGCTTCAAGCTACCTGCGAGTTTATGCAAAAGAATACAGTCGGCTTTAACTCGTTTTTGGTGGGACTCTAAACCTGATCAGAAAAAAATCAGTTGGGTAGCATGGAACAAACTCACCCGATCAAAGAAAGATGGTGGACTGGGCTTCAGAGACGTTGAATGCTTCAATGACTCTCTCCTAGCTAAGCTCAGCTGGCGAATACTGCAAACCCCCCAATGTCTACTCGCCCGAGTCCTACAAGGGAAATACTGCAAATATGACTCCTTTATGAATGTGACAAAGACCAAATCTGCCTCACATGGATGGACAAGCATTCTGGTAGGTAGAGACTTACTAGCAAAGCATTGCAGTAAAGCTATTGGAAATGGCAAAGATACTAGCCTATGGAATGACCCCTGGCTCTCATCATCGCACCAACAGAGACCTTATGGCCCAGCTCTGCAGTATGCAAAAGACTTCACTGTGAATGACCTGATGCATCCCAACTCCACGACTTGGAACCTAGAAGTAATCAACATTCTGATCCCTGCAGAATCACAGTTGGTGCAAAGCATTAAACCAAGCCAAATAGGCACAAAAGATGTCTTCATCTGGACCCCAAATGAATCTACTCTACAAAATCCGGGTATCATACCTCTATGGCAGAGAATAATCATCTACCCTCTGCAAGCACTAATCAAGGATCTTTCAGATGGATTCCCAACATCTGGTCAAGCCCTATCTCTCCAAAAGTTAAGACCTTCCTTTGGAAAGCTACTCAGGAAGCTCTCCCTGTTGGATCGAACCTACTGAAACGAGACATCTTAACTGACCCTGCGTGAAAAAGATGTGGCGAACCGAAATCAATCACACACGTCTTCTTCTATTGCCCATTTGCAGCTAGTGTTTGGAATGGCTTACCTACTAGAGAAGCTTTGACCCCCTCCACCATCGCAGACTTCAAATCGGGACTCATCGCTGGGAAGACCCTGATCTCTCTTCCCCCATGTGGACTTGGATCGGACCCGATCTTTCCGTGGATATGCTGGCAGATCTGGAAGGCAAGGAATCTCCTGATTTTTGAAAATCGAACCATCTCCTCCATGGAAACTATATCTCGTGCGATATCAGCGGCAAGAGAATGGAGAGCAGCACAGCTAACACCTGAAGCGCAACCGACGAATCCCCTGGAAGTCTCAAATCCAGATCGGATCAACGCCTCAGCAACGATCTGCAAATCGGATGCAGCTTGGCGACATGCAGATAAGAAGGCAGGATTGGGATGGACTATCTTAGCTCGGATCGACTCGTTGTTCAAGGACAAGGTACGGATTCCTCTGTTTGCTCACCTTTAATGGCGGAAGCTCTGGCCCTACGAGCAGCGTTGGAGGATGCAATCCAACATGGCTACAAAGACCTTCACATGCAAACGGATTCCCTCAAACTTGTCCATGGCATCAACAAAGGAAATCTCATCAAGGACATCTATGGTGTTCTTCACGACATAAATGAAGCTACCAAACTCTGTAACTCGATTTCTTTATTTCATATTCCCCGGCTGAGCAATGGGCCAGCTGATGGACTCGCTAAATGGGCCCTAAACTCTGTTCCTGTAACGATTCCGTAGACCCACGGCTTGACTTAATATGAATCCTTTTGATGATAAAAAAAAAAACTGGTGGAATCATGTCCGATCGCTCCACTTGCACGTGGTCAAGATTAGGATGGTCTTGAAATTTCTGACCACAATAATAATAAAACCAAACCGATTATAACCACCTTTAGATTTTGGTTTCGATTTACACATTCCTATGTAGGCCTGGGTATTCGGATATTCGGTTCGGTTTCGGTTCGGAGCCAATCGGTTCCGGATATTTCGGGTAGAGAAAGTTAGGATCCATCGGATATTTTTATAAATTTCGGTTCGGGTTCGGTATCTTTATTTCGGTTCGGTTCCGGTTCAAATAATCGGATCTGGATCTTTTTGCTTCAAATTTTTATTCGACTCACACTTTTTTAATAACAAAAATTCAAAAATATATATATCAAAACTTAAATATATACCCAAAACTCCCAAAAATAAAGAAAATATATCTGTAAAACCAGAAATATATACCAAATATCAAAAATATCAAAAAAAAACTAATATTTAGAAGGATATATAATTATACTTTGGATAATTCGGGTACCCAATCGGTTCTCGGTTCGGTACTAGCTCGGTTCCGGTTCTTCGGGTATAAGAGTTAAGATCCATCGGATATTTTTAAAAATTTTGGTTCGGATTCGGTACCTCCATTTCGGTTCGGTTCCAGTTCGAATATTCGGATCCGGGTTTTTTGCCCAGGCCTATTCCTATGCATATCCGGCTGATTTCGGTTGAATTTAGTTAATCTCCCATTCTTATTCTTAGGCTTCCCTGAAAAGAAATTGCCATGCCGCAACATTTCTGGAATGAGCTGCGAAGAGTACATGTCGTGTTCAGCATGGGACATGGTCGGATACAGACAACTGGGTCTATCATCCGGTTCGGGTCCACCCATGTGCTGTGCGGTCGGATTTGAATCCGTGAAAGCAATTAATCTAAGTAAGTTGGAGTGTGAAGGATACATTAGTGCATACAATCTCGCACCGTTGAAGCTCAGAGGACCTTCTGATTGGGCTTATGGTATACGAGTCAAGTACGAGCTACAAGGAAGTGATGCCTTTTGTCGCGCGTGTGTTGCAACTTCAGGGACTTGTGGCTACGAATCTACCGATGGTGGAGGGCTTAGGCATCTTTGCATCTGCGACCACCACAATTCTACCACAAACTGTGACTCAGGTTTGTATTGGTATTATCATATTTTTTTTGTCTCCTTTTCATTTGAAGTAAAAATATGTGCCGATGGATTTGTCTACATATTCAAACTTATTTCATTGATTTCAAATTGAGAATGCAAAATTATTATAGCATATTCGAATTTATAGTTAGGGTATATATTTAGCATGGATAAAGTTATCTAATTCCAAATCCAACACATTCTATATATGATTTAAAAGGATCTGTTTTTAATATCTGAAACTAATTTTTGCAACCAATTGGTTTACTCGAAATTCGTCTTATTTTTTAATTGAAAAGCTAATTATTTTCTTTGTTTATGTAGTTATAACACCAACCGGTGCATCTTCAAGTGTTCGACCAAAACTTATGGGATGTAAGTTTCAAATTGCATTTATGTGTTCCCTTGTTTTTGTACATAGTTTATCTTATTTTGAGCTCACATATTACCCTTTTTGTTTTTGTTTTTGCAGCACTGATCTTCTTTTTCATAACTATGAACATAAACCTTCAAAGAAGACAATGAGTTACTCATTAATAAAGACAAACTATCGCTTATATACAGAAGAACCCAAAAAACTTATATTGATTAGAATCATATATATGCCTGGACACAAAAATGTCGAAACCCTAATATATACAAAAACTTAAGCCAGTTTCGTACTATTTTAGGTGAGTTTCTCAAATCAAATAACATTACAAAAATGATATTTTATTCAGGAAAAACTCAATGGGTATCTCACTACTAATGATGCTCTACGACTTTTCAAGAGATGTTGAAGATGTCGACAAATCTAATTTTGCTAAGTAACTTTTAATCAAGTGTCTTTTGCCAAGTTAAAAAAAAAATTGAATGAAGTGTCTTTTGCCAAGTGAAATTTTGATTTTGCAAGGACCTCTTGAAAATTTTAGGAAGACTGCACTGTCGTCTTCTCTGAAATTAATCCATCTGCTGTGTTATTTCAAACCTTCCAATAACCATTTTGATATAAATTTGTGTAGGTACCAAGCAGTATGAATTTTGAGAATTAGCATGAACATTTTAAGATCTTAAGGCTTAGTGATGTGGTAAATATTATTGATTATCGCATACGGCAGCTTTATTCATGTTTCCACCAACCATTTACATTTCTATTTAATCACAACAACTATTTCGAAATACAGTTTTCAACAATCTTTAAATTATATACCGCTACTTAACGATAACTAGAAACTTGAAACCAAATTCACAAGGAGCCAAAATGCGAGTTAGGATACGTCATTAATATACAAAAACAAAAGAAAAGCTTTTGGTTGAAACATAAAAACCCTACGAACAATGCATGCACAAGCAGCCATGAATTATCACAACACACTTTTCATGGCAGCTAAGAGCATGTTCAATGGAAACGCTTATGTGTTTTTTTTTTAAAAAAAAATTAATCAAATTAATACAATAATAAAAGAATCAACGCTTAAATAAGAGGTTTAAGATCTGCTGCTTATGAAACAGGTGTCAAAATATGATAGATGGTGTGAAAGGAAAAACATTTTTGTGTCCTCGTGAAAAAAAATTTCACTTCTTCTCCTTGGAAAAAAAAAATACATTATTCTCTCCGACGAATCGATCTGATTCATCCGGCTTCCAGCTTCTTCCGCCTTCCGGCTTCCTCCGGCGAATCGATTTGATTCATCCGTGTCGATGTAAACCCTAGTTCCTCCTTTCAATTGTTACAAATTTCCATCCCGATCAGAACATGCAATTGATTTGTTTGTAGCTTTGGTGACTTTTGTGCTCTCTTTTTTTTTTTCTCATATTGATAGATTGATAGATTTGGAGGGATGACTCTAGGGTTGTTATTGGGTATCGGAAGATCATTCCGAAGACTTCTGGAAAGATTATGAGAGCTTGTATCATACTTCACAATATGATAGTAGAAGACGAGCGAGATGGATACAGACACTTTAATATCGAAGAATTCCAACAAGGTGAAGGAGGCGAAAGTTCAAATGTCGATCTCACGTATTCCACAAGTATGCCTACAAATATTGCAAATATGATGAGTACTCATCTTAGAGTTCGTGACATAAATCAGCATCATCAATTGCAAACCGATTTGGTAGAGCATATATGGAACAAATTTGGACATGATCAAAATAACAACTGAACATTCATTTCTTCAAAATGTTCTGAAATTTATATTTAAAAGTTTCAAAATTTCTGTTTAAATTTGTATTTGTATCATCTATGTTTATGTTGATTTTATGTTATCTATGTTTTATTTGAAATTAAATTTATCTTCTATTAAAAAACAATTAAAAATAATAATTTAAGCACCCCTAATAGGATTCTACCATTGGAGCTTACAAAATCAAAAATGCTTAACAAAAGTTCTTAACTTCAAATTAATAATTAAATAATACTTAAACATCTCATTATAGTTGCTCCATTGAACATGATCTAATGCATCCAACGTTACTTCACTACTCTCTCCTGCGCAAAACTAATTAAAACCAAATAACAAAACCAAAGAAAAAAACAAATAAAGAAACTTAAACAAAACCCATCAAAGCATACATGACGGGTCTTCGCATGGCCATCCAGCGACCGGCCATGTGACACTTTCCACCACTTCCGGTACACTCACACCACTAAACCGGTTCAGTGACGTCAAATACCGTCAACAACAAAATCATACGATCTCGACGGAAGCGTCGGAGGAAACTTGATTATGCTCTTTCATCACCCGTTTCCTAACCCCGTTAAGCCACGTACGTGGCACATCCCAAGACAACGTCGTACATGCTTAGCGCAAAGTATACACGGATACACCAGTACCAGCAATAATCCCATTAGCAATGGAATAAGTCAACGGCATAAGCAAGATCGTTACAAACGCCGTTACGGCTTCTTTAGTCTCTCCCCATCTAATATCTTCACAACTCCCATCATCATCACACCAACCATCACTAGCGAGGGCCCCACCACCGACCTAGGCACGGCAGTCACTAACGGCGTCAAAAACATCGATGCCAAGAAATACATTCCGATGATAACGGCCGTTAGCCCCGTTTTTCCTCCTTCTTTCAATCCCGCCGATGACTCCACGAAAGTCGCCGTCGTTGTAACTCCTAAGGCAGACCCCACCACGTAGAAGCCAGCGTCGACTAAATACGCGGTGTATTCTCCTTTGAACTTCCCGTCCTCCTCCATGAAGCCTCCGATCTCGGCCATCGTGTAGAGAACTCCAGTCGTGCCAAGGAGATACGTAGAAGAGAGTAGCGAACGCGACCCTAACCTCGCTCCTTCTAAACTCCGTGACAAATTAGATTTGGAAGATTTTCACTTGTATTACTTAGGCTCATAAGACCTGTATTTATACAATTACAATCGTTAACCTAGGACCAGAAAAAGAAATATACACTAAATGTATACATAGATATAGAATATCTTAATACCCCCTCAAGTTGGAGCATATAGATTTGATATTCCCAAATTGGACAAGAAAACGTCAAATTCTTTCTTCCCTAATGCCTTGGTAAAAATATCAGCAAGCTGGTCCTTCGTGGAGACGTGAATTGATCATCACATATAAAATGACAATCCACTTCGACGTGTTTAATTTGTTCATGAAAACTGGATTCACACTAATGTGTAGAGCAGGTTTATTGTCACAGAAAAGTGACATTGGTTCAGAGTGGTCAAAACCCATGTCACGAAGCAAAGCTTTTATCCACCGAAACTCTGCGGTAATATCGGTCATAGCTTGATACTCAGCTTCTGTAGATGAACGAGAAACCGTATCTTGTTTCTGGCATTTCCACGAGACAGGTGAAGAACCAAACTGAACAATGTAACCTGTGATGGATCTTCGTGTTAAATGACAAGCAGCCAAGTCCGAATCACACCAACCACTGACGTGAAATTTTGCTTCAGCCCGAAGAAGAATACTTTTCCCAAGAGTACCCTTGAAGTAACATACCACTTTCAAAGCCGCAAGCCAATGTGCCTCCTTGGGTGCATGCATAAATTGAGAGAGCACGTGGGTCGTATATGCAAAATCAGGTCGTATAGCAGCAAGATAAATAAGTCATCCCACTAAACATCGAGAAAACTCCCGATCGGCAAAGATCGGCAAGTAAAGGACCCTCAGCCAGACTTAACGTGTGATTCTGATCAAGAGGAGTGCCTGCCGATTTACAACCAAGTAAACCCATTTCTTCTACAATGTCAGTAGCATATTTGCGCTGACAAATGTAAATACCTGCAGGGCTACGAGCTACCTCTAATCCCAGAAAATATTTGACAGTACCAAGGTCTTTCATGCAAAAACACAAAGACAAATATTCTTCAGAGGAGTTGCCGGAGATAATTAAATCGTCAACATACACCAAGATCCGGAGGGAGACGTCATTCTTCTTGTAGACGAACAAAAAATAGTCAGCACGGGATTGAGTGAAACCATAAGTAAGAAGTGCATCAGCAAGCTTTGTAAACCAACATCGATAGGCTTGTTTCAAACCGTACAAAAACTTTTGGAGATGACACACTCTCGTTTCACCGTCTGGATGGAAACTACACTCTCGTTTCACCGTCTGGATGGAAACCAGGTGGACTTTCCATATAAAATTCATCATGGAAATCACCGTGAAGAAAAGCGTTATGAACGTCCATTTGGTGGACTTCATGATTCTTTTTGGCCGCATAATCTAAAAACATTCAGACCATTTTCATCATTGCGACAGGAGCAAAAGTCCCATCGTAATCAAATCTCTCCTCTTGATGATCACCACGAACTACAAAGCGCGCTTTATACCGTTCATTCATTCCATCCGAGCGGTACTTAGTAGTAAATACCCATTTACATCCGAGCGCCTTCTTATTGGGAGGCAGATCTTCAAGTCGCCAAGTTTGTAATTCTTCAAGAGAATTATATTCAGAGTTCATCACATTCTCCCAGTGTTTGTGTTTCATCGCTTCTTGAAAAGAACGAGGCTCAATATTTGTGGTCAAAGCCATCAAAAAATTGCGATGGTTAAGGGAAAATCGACACTACAAGAAAACAATCATTTTCCAACGGTCTGTTACGACGGTTTAAAAATCGTCGCAAACATACAACGATTGTATGTTGATTTTACGTCAAAAACGTCGTAAAAAAAATATCATCGTAACTTCGACGTACAATTTACGACGATTTACGACGATTATACATCGATAAAGAGAGATTTGATGTTAATTGCAAAATCATCTTTAATTGGATGTAACATTACAACGAATATACGACGATATTTAGCCGATATACAGTTACGACGATTTTACGTCGACAAAGAAGTTAGGTGAAGAACGTTTAAAACATGTTTACCTAACTAATGTCAATGAAATATTTTTATCGCATAATCGACGTAAAATCATCGTAATATTAATGTTGGATGTAAAAGCGATGTAAAAAATCGTCGTAAAAGCATCGTAAAGTCCGAAATTTTGTTATAAATAGATCTTCATTCCTTCTTTCATTCACAACACATCATCATTCAAACATAAGAGCATCAGCATCCTGGAGACCCATTTTAGGTCTCTTAAACCTTAGTATAGTGTTGTAAATCCTGATATATTGGGTTGTCCATTGCTGTAAA